TAAATCTCAGTACTAGAACTAAATAAGATTTAAAAAATAAGGCTAGTGGTTTTGTAGCTGGGCTCAAAAAAATAGCCTTCGATGTTGACATGTAGTAAACTTACTCTATTTAAAGTGGATTTCAGAAAGGCAAAGCAATTATTATTTAATGGGGATATGAAATGCAAGTCAGGAATTGATCTATAAAAAATAATCGATGTTTTAATACTTTAAAGCCCTTAGAATTTCGCTTGATTAAACCCTGTCTAAGTCCTCTTTTAATTCTTTTTTCTCTATATGACATATTTAGGGAACATTCGTCTACGTATTCTACTGTCTGGGAGACAATGAAATAAGAAGCATGTATACGTGCAGGCGAAGACGTTTACTAACTGGTAAGCTTCCACTAAGCCTCAGAAAGAAAAGGAAAGCTGAAGATAAAGTGGGACTTGAAGTCGCTCTTCAGCCAATAGTTAACCCGCAAAAGCAATATTCCATAAGTCAGGAAGAAAAATCTGTCTTTACAAATCTAACCAAGCGTAGCTTAGAAACTTCCAGAGCCAGAAATACGACGAAGAATATTAACGGGATAAGACCATATATAGATATGAATTCGGCGAATCAAGACTACCGATACAAGAATTAAGACAAGGTTTATGTCAACTGGAACTATTGTGAAGAATCGTAGAATCGTTAAATTCAATACAAGGCAACGCAAACCTTAAGAATATAGTTTGAGAAAATAGAAAAAGAGAATGTGTATACGTTAATATATACCAATTTGTAAGCGAATTTGCAACAATTGAATAAAAAATATATGAGCAACAATGTTTATTCATCAACTCAGGCTCTTATTCTTAAAATACGGAAGCAACATCATGTAAAACAAAGGCGATTATGTGTATAATAAAGATATGGAATTCACGGGGACAAGTAAAGTTTCATAAATAATGGGTAGAATTTAGTCGAAATGGCAAAGGTTAGAAAAAATCCTGCCTAAATATAGAGGAACGTAAGTGGAGTACAAAAGAATAAAAAGTAAAATAGAACATCAAAATCTAAGGTATAATGAGATATGCAAGAATTGAGATTATGATAGCGGATGCTGACATTTTGATCACAGTAAAATGTTTATCATTTGAACCTTTGTAGATTATCCCATTTGTGTCATTGAATAGGAGCAAATGCACAAAAGCGAACAAGCAAAATCTAATAAAGATAGAGTATAGTGAATAATGTGAGTAAATAAACATTTGTGAAAATTTCTAGTAAATAGCAGGGCTGGATAAAGTGAAATGATAAATGCTGCCTGAAACAAACGATCGATAAATGGGGGTGACAGGCGCAGAAATAAAAGATGCCAAATCGATGATAAAAGGTAGTGGAGGATAGCGGTGACGAAGATACCAGAGATAATAAAAAGAATGATTTAAATTTGATAAAAGAGTGGGCCTGCAAACTTGTAACGAGAAAAAAGAGGATATCGACAAACAAGAGCTACTTTGAGGCAACAGATGGAGTTGAACAACAAGATGTCAAACCACTAGCTTCGCTGTCGGCGCTTAGGGGTCCAGAGTTCATCGGTTTAGGTACAGGCAAGTCAAGCAGCTCACAAATCCGATTGCGAACTAGCTTGATCTCCTTTCGATCGTTCTCCCTAGATAGAAGGAAGGATTACATTAAGTGATTAGTGAGTGAAGCGATTCTAAGAGGTGAAGGTAAAAAAGGTAATAGAGATTCAGTTGATTACCCAACAGATAATGCATTAAATATTAAGGTCCAAAACATGAATACAATACCTAATGACCATTATTTAACAATGTCTAAAGAGAATACAGAAAGAACTAATTAGATAGGGGTTTTCTAATTCCAAGTCGAAAAAATTTCGGTTGCTAAATAAAGAGCAAAAGACGCTGAGCTTCGCTAAAGACGAACATTGAATGCATAGAGGCATATCAAATACAAAGGGTAAAAAACATAGTTTACATGGGAAACATACCAAGCTAACTTTTTTCTTAGTTACTTGACTTATAAAAAAACATTTTTGGAAAGAGTTTAACACTATGTGAATTGGAGTCCTAATAACTAACGCGTAGCAAGAGCCTTAAGAAAGATAAAAGGGATAAAAAATAATTATTTTAAAAAGCGTTTAACAAATTAATTTACATAATTTCCAAATCCACACAATCCTAGCTTGTAAACAAAATAGAACTATAGACTTTAAGAACATCTAGTAGGTCTAAATAAGTATTTCGACGGCCCAATGTGACATTTAGGAATCAGAAAGCTCACCAAATTGTTTCTGTAAGTATATTCACTAGCTCGTCAGACACTTCGTCCTTAGCGAAAGGATAGATAAGCATGCACTCATAAAGCTTGCTAGCTGTATTCTTACGTACCTGTAAAATCGAAAAATTGATTAGTCTATATTGTGTAATGAGATGAAATAAATATGAGTGATGTGAAATGATGCCTCTATGGAGAAGCGTAGCAAGGAAAAAGAACATTAGATTGAGTTGTTTGAAGATGAGGTAGTGTGATAGAGCAAAAAAGAGAAATATAATATGTAATTTAACACCTATGAATAACAGGCAAAGCGGGAAAACATTGAATATTATATAGGAATATAAGTGTTAAATATGGGTTTAGTGAAAAGTAAAATAGAATGGCTCAAAAAAAATTTTGGTCTCATCCAATTATCAACTAAAAATAAGGGCAGTCAGGCATTTTTATGTCTAGTCTTAAATGTATGAATAGAAGATTGACAGGTTATTAAACAACTCCCCCTACATTCATAGTTTACATAAAGGGTAAACCAAATTTGTTCCGCAAATTCTAGCCCTTCTGGGATATTTATTTCTTTGCAAACACTGGCAGTCATACTTGCCGTTTCATAAGTAGGTTTTTTAGACTACCAATAGGTCTGGTATAAGAGCTGTATTAATCCTATTTCGTTTGAGGTAATGAAAGGCTGGTAGATGAATTTTTCCCATAATGATATGAGTAAGCCTCGTGTTTCCAAATGTTTTCAAATATCATTGCTTCCAAAAAATTATTCTTATCAAGACTAAACCACAATTTCGACCCCAGCAGTACTCAAGTCAGAAAACTGCAGCGTGCAATCTCGACACGTTAACCATTACACCACACTGCCACGAGTGCTATTGGGTCACAGGGCAAGGAAGCCTACACATTTCATATGTCAAATTTCTGTTGTAGGATAATCGACGAAGAGTAGATCAATACAGTACATTACTTATTTTTCTTTTCGTAAAGACAGACTTGATTGGAATAGCTTTTAAGAATCGAAGGTATGTGCAATTTAATAAAACCATGAAGCCTAGTCATATCATTGTGGGTAAAATTCAACTACTAGTCAATCATCACCCTTAACGAAAAATGGTGAATACAACCCGTATTATAAACAAGTACATTTAAGGAAAATCAAATCCAAGCAGTGCAATGTAACAGCTTTGGGGCTGCTAAAAGTAGACATACCACGGGGAAGCGGTGCCCTAAAGTTACCATCATTAGGGTAACGGATCTAGACCGAACAACTCCCTCAAATTGAAGCATAGCGCCAAATCTGTAATGTTAAGGAATAAAAAATAAACATGATTAAAATAGGAGATAAAGGATAAGGAAAAATAATTAAATGCAGTCAATCTTTAGCGATGCACAATTCAAGTTATCCTATAACAAACATGAACTTGAGATTATACAGATTGCTCAGTACATAATCACCTAGAATATAATATAGCTATTTAACTGATAATAAATTAAGTAACAGGATATTTAAGGCATATATAGCAAAGCAGCCTCAGATTTTAAAGAAAAAAGTAATAGATAAAGCTTAAATAACAATAATTGCGGGAGCCAAAACCTAAAATATAAGATAGTATGACCAATCCACAATTTTTTCAATCAATGAACTTAACTAGCAGATACACTAGATACTAAAATGGTGCAACAAGCGAACTCCAGGCAAAAAATGGAGTTTCGATAAGTTACCCGCTATTTTTATGCAATTGGGTATCACATTTCATGCAAGTTTAAACGAATTAGTCAATGACTTATGAGTCTTGAGAAATAGCGCCTGGAGTGAAATGAACACAGGGACCGGACCCGAGTGAAATCGGTCAACCAGAAAGATAAGGAACGGATCTACGAGACAATGAGAGGATCCGGATTGGAGGCCCGAGTCGGATAAGACCATCGAAAGAGAGAGATCGGGGTAAATAGCAAGTGTGATGAGGCCACACTAGGTTTGCCACAAAATGGCACACATTTTGACGAGTGGAATGTAAACAAATGAGAAGTTGTGATAGGGCGGCAGTGGGATAAGTGTAAAGAGTAGATAGATAGGCAATAACAGAAAGAGGAGTGATAGTGTAACCGTTTTCGGCAGAAAGGTTGTCGAGGGATTGACTTCACTTGTCTCTTTGACGAGTTCGTAGCTTGGTGCGGAGAATGGCAAAGCTCACTGATGATGCCGACTACGATGACTTCATTTGTCTCTTTGACGAGTTCGTATCTTGGTGCGGAGAATGGCAAGGCTCACTGATGATGCCGACTACGAGGTTTGTCGAGGGATTGGCTTCACTTTTCTCTTTGACGAGTTCGTAGCTTGGTGCGGCGAATGGCAAAACTCACTGATGATGCCGACTACGATGCCGGCGAAGCGTTTGAGAATGTATCAAGTCCACTGTCAGATGCTGGAAATCATGACAACTACTATGGCAGACGACTTCGGGGTGCGTTCTACCTGGTCTCCCTGAAAACAAGACCAAGTTGCGACAACGAGGTCAACCCACTTCTATCAAACCTGGTCTCCCCGAGCATAAGACCAAGTTGCGACAACGAGGTCAACCCATTTTTAAAAGTAAGCTTATTACTATGGTCTTATTACATAGTCGCCCTGACAACAAGACCAAGTTGCGACAACGAGGTTAACCCACTCCCATATTATTTGTGTTGAGGAATGTATCAAGTACATTGTCAGATGCTGGGAATCATGACAACTACTATGGCAGACGACTTCGGACTAGGTGCGTTCTACATGGCTCCCTGTAGAACAAGACCAAGTTGCGACAACGAGGTCAACCCACTTCTATAGATCGAAAAGAGACTGCGACCATACCAGAACAAGACCAAGTTGCGACAACGAGGTAAACCCACTTATATAAAACGAAAGGAGACTGCGACCATAACGAAGGCCACAACATCTTGGTCTTTATATATTCTCTTAATAAATTACTCTGGGGCAAGATAGTTGCCAGGTGAAATGCTAGCTAATTCTTATACTTCGTTTTGAGTAGGCTTTCGAGATTATCAGTAAATCAGACATATGAGCTGCGTTCACCCTACTGGTAGTCTCTAAAGCAGATTTACAAAAGGAAAAAAAGCGTGGGATAGCATGTCTACTCATATCATTGTAGCAAAATTCAACTACCAGTCTTTCATTACCTTAAACGAGATAGAGTGAACACAGCTCATAAGTCTGAGTTACTGGTAGTCTAGAAAACATAGTCAAAACGAAATATAAGTAATGCCGCCGATTGTTATGGCAAATATATGTTTGTTTCATCAACAATCCAAACACAATGTTATATGGGAAAATGTCTGGCCTTACTTTAAATTCACATCTGCCCTGTGACCCAAGGGCACTTGTGGAAATGTGGCGTTGTGGTTAACTTGTCGATATTATACGCTTCACTGTCATGATTCGAATGCCAATGGATGTGTTGATAAGACCTATAAGGTCAAAGCTGCGGTCCACCATGAATGAGAATTTCTTTGGAAAAGCAAAGCTA